TAGATGTGTTGCTTTGGGAGATTTCTGCGGCCTGCGTTGAATCGGTTTGCCCATGCTCAACCCGCCAACGTGCTATAAGCTTTTGCAATATCTTTACTTTCATATCAGTTGCAGCGTAACGTTCACGAAACTTGTTAACATCAAACGGGTTTGTGGCAACAGTTGCTGTAAATATTAATAAATTATACCATATGAGGAATACTTGCATTAGAAAAATCCTACATCGCCGCAGACTGCCATACTCTGTTCGATACTGAATTATTTCATCTTCTTTGCGCCGTAAAACTTCCAATAGCTCTTCGATTTGCACTGGCAAGCGGTCTACTAAACTGGTAACCTCGTTTACTGGCAGTGTGATAGTAAGTGACTTATCTTCTCGCTTTAAACGCCATTCAAACTTGAATGGGCAACCTTTGACACGATATTTCAGTGTCAATATACGCTCGCTGGCAGTAGACGCGTCGACTCCATGATCTTTCACCAACCAATTAGCTGATTCTGGTTGCGTATTTTGCATAGTATCGTAGGCTGTAGCCACATCGTACTTGATGCGTTTATTCAGCAACTATAAAAGACATTTATATACATAGATATGTAGGGATTAAGTAATAATAATAATAATAATAATAATAGATTGGCGCTTACACATATGTTAGTGTTTGGCCGAGCTTCTCCTCCGATTTGTGGCGTGCGCCTTGATGTTGTCACACAAAGCGGAGGGACCTACAGTTTTACGCCGACTCCGAACGGCGATTGTATTTTTATGAGAAGCTGTTTTTCATGGCAGAAATACACTCGGAGGTTTGCCATTGCCTGCCGAGGGACGACCGCTGTTAAGAAAAAACCTTTTTTCTATATTTTTGCGATGTTGCTTTGACCAGGGTTTGAACCCAGGCATTGTGGAGTGGAAGCGCGCACTGCTTACCACTACACCACAGCGGCCGATAGGGATTAAGTATTGGTGTGAAATAATGCATTGAGTATGTATGACACCTGCAAAGTCTGAGCCACCTCCTCCTGAGTTTTCACTGCCGTCCAGTTTTCATTGGAATCATACAAAAAGTATTCTATTACATCTCCCTGCACTGCGCACTCAAAGAAGTACGTTTTACCTTCGACATTCAATTCCTTTAGCATTATAATAATAAATGTAACAAATAAACTTTATTAATGTACAAGTTTAATAAATAATTGTGACATGCAAACACCAATTGTTATTCACTTTGACAAGTTAGCGTTGTCGAAATGCTTATCGATAACACAACATCGATTTCTAACGGATGCAGCGAAAGATAACCTGACACAGGGTGCTACGGGAAGTTAAATATTAGACACCGGAAGCGGTATTTAAAAAGGTTAAAGCATATAGAAGAGAACAAATTTGCTATTTAAAGTTGGACACCAATAATTTGGAGTGGAAATCAGGGCTTATTTTATTTATCAAAATAACAACTAATTATTGACAAGAAATCAGCTTGTTCGCTCAACGAGCCAGCAAAGTCGAAAATTAATTAATTAATAAGAAATTTTTTGGCGGATACAGCGAGCGGAAAACCAAAGTTGCAAACAATTATTTAATAGCCGCCGGAAGCGGGCCTACCGCAAATAAAAGTGCAAATAATTAAATTTTTTTTTAAATAAATAGGTGAATAGTTATGTTACTAGTGGCGTCTAATGTTACTGTGTTTGAATGTGTGTTATTTACAACGTGAAATATGAAACTTACTATGTGCTTGCCGCCAAAAGTTTCAACAGACGCCTCCATGCGTGGGCTTCCGCTGGCTAAGTGATAGTAAGCGGTAGGGCACTCGAAATAGCATATGAATTAGTGATTCAAGTGTGTTGAAATTATTGAAAAGTTTACTTCTCCTCAAATGTGTGTTATACAAGTAACAACAAATAAAACATATCGAAATTTTTATGTAAGTCCCATGTATGCTTTATATGGCAGTTCCGAAATGTAGTCATGTATTGAGAGAATTATTTCACAGCTGATGTGTTTGTTGTGAAACATTTATTCAACTATTTTACTCGAAATAACTTGCTTTAACAACACAGTGATTTATTGGCGCAGTATTTGCGTGAGTTTTAAGCATAGGCTGTGCTTTGTTTACAAAGTAATCTTTCGATCAGACGTAGTGGTAGTAGTGGGGATTTCTAATTTAAAATAGTTAGTCCTTTAAATGTGCTTTATATCATATTTCCATGAATTCCAAACTCAAGTCTAAAACAGAACTCTTTTCCATGTTATTTTTCACCTCTTCATAGGATGCCACCTCAGATGCGATAAAAATATTTTTAACCACTAAAATGTATTTTTGGCTCATTGGCTAAAGAAAAGTTTATGTCGTTTTGCACTATATATTTCAGTATAAGACATTTCGTATACGCATTTGGAACAACATACAATCTCCTATCCTGCCCAGTTACGACATATCTAAATTAATTACAATTGTCTGTAAGATAGAAATTAAATACATATTTTTATTTATTTAATTTTAGCATACTAACACACACTTAGCTGTCTATTTTTGTAGTGTAATAATATTTATTTTTTATATTAATCGACTATTTACAGCAAGAAAGTAATCAAGAATACGGTTTTCATTTGATTTTGTCTAAAAGTACATATATATGTTCATACTTTTTTAGGAAATAATTTGACTACCAAAAACAAAAAAAAACAAACATTGCAAGCAAGTGTATATTTACTACATTCATATGTATAGTATATTGCCAAATTTAACAAATACTTAACGAATTTTATTTGCTATTTAAATACTTTATTTCATTACATTTTCATTTCACACCTAGTTATGCTTTATTTTAACCAAATTTTCGATATTATTTAGCTAGAAATTATGATTTACGTATTACATCTAAATAAATCAATAACTACTTCAGTACCTGCACGAGTGCTGTGAATTGGAAACAACTATAACTAGCCTCACACTAAACTTACACACTGCTAATTGTCTTTTTAATGTCTTTTACCATTTTGTTTTTGCTTAATATTACATTTGTTTTCTTAAGATAAACATATTTTCTATACGAATGTAGGTATGTATGTATGTAAATACTTGTGAATCTTATAATTTTCGAGTAATACAAAAATTATTGATAGTTAGAAAAAAGTACTAGTAACACTTGTAAGTCCTATCGCGATACTGCAAATATGACTTGCTTATAATGATAAACAGCAAAATTATTTACAGGTTGTGATCTTTTGTTGTGCTGTTTTTCATATCTGTGGCCGCGTCCACAATTCACTTAGATCCTTTGGACGTATTTTTCCGATTTCTATAGTGAATAAAAGCAAATAATTTGTGGAAAAGTTATTAGTTTCTACACACTGCATCTACAACGTCAGACCTACCCAACTGACCAGGCATTAGACCACTATCACGCTTAGGCGAGGGCCAAACCATGTCAAAACGCGGCTGCACGGCTAATTGATTTGTTTGTGATGGCCGAAAAGTGGTACTACTGCAATAAAGTTGAGTTAAGTTTATTTAAGTTAAGTAAGAGTTTAAATATACGATTTCGATCTGAATAATTGAATGCATTTAATAATTTTATGACGTTCATCATATGTTGAAGACTCTTTGAATGATAAAAACTATGTAAATGTAATCCGCGTAGGCCCTAAAAATGTCATATTACCTTGTTACTAAAAGTATTTTTTACTAGCACAACCCAAATGTGTTTAGTTCAAATTTTTTAATTAATTTCTTAATCACAGGTATGTATGTATGTACATTACGGTGGTCCAAAAATGCATTTGAAAAAGTAAAATCGGAATTCTAATGCCGCCACCCCATAGGATTGTTCTATACCGAAAAAACCATATTTTTTATTTAGAAATAATAAAAAATTTAGGGAGTGCTCAAAAATTGTATACCATGTCTACGAAAAGCTGTATTCCCCCATATAAAATACATGGAAAACTTTGAGAGCTTTGAGCACTCCCTTAATATTTTTTGGTTTGATTTGATAAAAAATAGGGGTGTATTTTTTCGGTATAGAACAATCCTAGGGGGTGGCGGCATTAAAATTCCGACTTAAATCTTTTTGGACCACTCTAATGTATGTACATATATACATATGTATGTATGTTTACGTAAACTAACGCTATGCCTCTAATTTTAAAAGTTAATCTTCTGCATTCAGAGAGAATTTTCGCCTTTTCGGACCTTCGCCAAAAATTCGAATAGTTTATTTCGTAATTTAAACGCAAACCTTTTCACAAGTACAATTTCAGACCAACCTATAAGGGTGCTTCAAACATCCATAGACCTCTCGATATCGTCCATACAAAGTACCGTAGGAGACACCCAAAATGCGTGCAGCTTTCTTCATTTCCAAGCGTTTATTTTTGATAGCATCCAGTACCTGAAATAATTTTTGAAGAAAATACGCTCTACAATAACTACTACGACTACTTTTACACTGCTAAACTTACGCGTCGCGTGAACGGCTCCTCCCAGAACTGCGGCCTTCGTCCTTTTGCCAAATAATCATCCATTTTGATTACATCCTGCCACTCAGACATTTCTTCGGTGGTCAATCGCAATTC